CCTCCGTGTATCCCGATCATACATATTCGTGTATTAACTCGACTATTTTGTTTTCTTTAAATGTTTTTCCCAGACTGCGTTATCGCTACAAGAATGTTCCTTAATCCTCTCGGTAATTATTAATTACCGCGCCGTTACTCTCCGTTCTCCACCGAGAAGCCGCTGACACAATCTCTCTCGAACACGCGGTATGTGCCCGAAAATATTTGTCTGTTCCAGTCGTGGAATAATTGTTTGCAACAGTGATTAAAAACTCCATTTCGCAAACTATTGCGGAAATGCTGCTTGATACACACTCGCCACTTTACTGGTTAACACTAGAAGGATCAGAAGTTTATTAATTGAGGAGATAATTAATTGAGATACATTGCAAGTTTTTTAAATAGTTGGAAGTCTTATTTTTTCTTGTAAAATTTAAATTTCATCTGTTATCAATAAAGATGGAACGATAGGAGGATACTTTGCATGTTTATTATCTATATTTTATTAATATATAAAATGCAATTATCTTAAGATCATATAAAATAAAAATATATAAATCTTTCGTACCTTCTAGCGTTAATGTCAGCACGTCGCGATTATTAGAAAGCCTCATAGTATATTCATTGCTTATGAGATCGATGTTTAGCATAAAGACACGTGCCATTTTCAAAGGCTGTCCTCGAAGACAGAAGTGACAGTCCAGCCAGAAGCGTCGTAGCCAAAGGGTTTTCTTAACGAAACATCATCCTATAATTTCCCACGTAATTGTCATCTCTCACGACGACCTATACATGATTTGCGAATCTGTATATTTTACAAATACATCATCTTTTTACTTGTTCCTTCTTCATTTCTCCATCAATTAATACGTATATATTCGACATTATAGTTTAGATTCTCCTAGTGAGAGATATTTGTGTATTGAATCATATCACGAATACCTTCAGATGTCCTGGGGGAAACCTCGTTCACGGTGTAATATTTCTATTTACTTGTAATAATTATGCTATGCTCAGCTAATAGCAATATATTTATAGTTGCATAGAGAGTAGTTTACATCTTATAGTTTGCTAGCTGTAGCTTGCTGTGCTCTAAATCTAAAAATTCGTATCTAACGAGATTGATATTAATACCTTATATAACATATCATATTTATATTCGTTATCGCTATCTTGTCAAAATATAAATGATTAACCGTTATTGTTATAGTTTGAATATTTGAAACATTACACCGTATACAACGAGGATGCGTAAAAACCTATGAGTTTTCTAATATTTAACTGTATATTTTATTGTAGTATGATAGTTCCCGTTCTCTGTTGAATTTTGTGGAGATTCCTATAGGAGGAAGTAAATTCCATGACTGTGAAAAATATTAAACTAGTTATAAGCGTGAAAAATGCCATAAGAAATTTTTCATTTCTAAAAATATCGCACGATTGCGACTTTACGTTTATAATATTTCCTCCGGCAGAAATCTCAAAATAATGGACTCTTATGGAAAGATAATCAATTAAGAATTTTTTTTATCTCGACGTCGCATTGATAAGCACGATTAACCGCCTTTCGAGTTTTTATCATTTCTAAAATATATTTTATCTCTCTCATATTTTAAATATTTTTCCATAAGAGCGTGAAAGATTGTCATTTCGCATTAAATCAACACATCTTTCTTTTTGCAGCTCACGTCTACTGATGACTATCTGGCATACAAAGAAAGCGTGAAACAAAAAAAAAAGACGAAAAAAAAAATAATATTCGAAAAAAGTCAACCTAAAAAAAGGAAGAAAATTTGCATCACATCCTGAAAGAATTTTGGCGTCTCTATATCACAGTGCACATACTATTTCCACGGAATTTTATTTATTAACAATTACCACCATATGACTTATTGTACTGTTCATCCGTGATCTGTTTACGAAATAAAATAAACACTGCCAAAATTTTACTACACAGCATCAATTCATTTAGTTTCTTTTCATTCCCAGGCATAATTTTAATTACAACATCCTTATGATTTTAATTCTGACGAACTTTACACGTTACATAATTTCATCATTTTGAACAAACTTTTCAATTTTGATAAGATAAAATAACGTAATCAAAATAAATGATTTCATAAATCACTGATAAATATTATCTTATGTAATTATTTTCAAGTTAACGACATAAAACACACCTAAACACTTGCGAAATAATTTATGGAGTTCTTTTTTTCAAATTTTAACTTTGATAACTGATTAATATTCCTTTGATACTTGATTAATATTCCTTTAAGAGTCAAAAAGAGAAATATTGTATACTCTCGACACGATTAAACATTTCGTTATGCGTGATAAATTCGTACATTACTCATATATAGTTTTTGAAGAGTCGGGAGAGAATTGCAGAATAAACTGGAAGAAAGGTTTGTACAACAATATGCATGTTTATTATCTGAAAGTTTTATATCTCTAGGATGCCATTGCATGGCGCGTTCCGTCGTCGGCAATTCGAACGATGTAACAATTCTCGTGATAATCGCAAACTCCTCTCATGAGAGAGTGCGGCTCTCTCTCTCTCTTTCTCTCTCTCTCTCTCTTTTTCTCTCTTCTTTTCCTTTTTATTTATTGAATTTAAAGCATCGTCGAATCACGCAATCGGCCAACTCTTTACAAATATAATATCTGTATATAATATATGAATCTCGGACAAAACGCATATCGAGAGGGATCACAACCGCTCCTTTGACAATAATTAATCTCCCTTTCTATTTGTTTTATGAGGAGGAATGCAGGAGGAAAGAGGTGGCAAGGACATGATCGTTTCGTCGTCAGTGCGTTCCAGAACATAACAAATTTGTATCACGTCTCTTTCTCTTTCTCTCTCGTATGTTGAACAATAAACTATTATCTTCGTCTCGATCGCTATCAATATATCCGATAACGTTAAATAACAATCAAATAATGAGTAACGATATGAGTACCAATCGTAGTCAACGGAAAGGCCCATTATGTTTGATTGATTTTTTTTAAATCGGGGTAAGCTCTCGGTTTTGATCTTTTCGTGTTTTCAAAACAGTGTTGATCGTAACAATTCGCATGATTTCTCGTCAGTCTCTATTTAGGTTATCAACAAACGTCTTATCGGTGCTTCGTCATTAATTTTGACAGTAAATTCATCATTTGTATTCATGAATATTTTTTTTGATGTGCCCTGATATAACAAATATTAAATATTAAATCTCTAGAAGACACAATTGCGCACATTATTACGAAAGATATCCCCGATATGGATACAACCTCGCATGTCTACTACTATTTGATCGATCGCTGCTTCCGTAGAATATTATAAATTTCTTTTCTCGAAAAATGTGGCGTGCACACACATTGATAATATTTCTCTGTACATATTGCGATACAATTTGTCGTAATATTCGGCGATCCTCATCAACATGCACACGTTTTTCCAGATGTGACTTTTGCCGCGCAAACAATTGCAAGCGATAATACAATACCGACTATAGAATGAGAATATATCGAAGAATTAAACATGCTAATGCTCATTATTAATATTTTGCGAAACAATATCTTGCAACAATCTCTGTAACGACGCGAATCCGGAGTTATGTAATAAACATGTATAATAATCGAAAAACGTGAAAACAACAAAAAAGAACGATATGTCATACACAAATATATATATTATAAATGTTTAAATAAATGCACTAAATCGCTTAAATGCGGATTGCCATTACACGTCTCTCTGTTCAAAGAATAAATGAGCTTTAACCTAATACATGAATATGCTACGTCTAGATAACTATAAACCCGTAGACATATCTTTTGTCAAACAGAAAATTTCAACTCGAAATAAAAAGTAACGATAATTGAAAAACATCATCACTGAAACTGTTTGCGCGATCCAAAGCAATCATTTTAATGATATGCGACGAATCTTCCATGAATCAGATAACAAATATACATTCGTTTTCTTCACAAGCATGAGAAGCTTGCAACTGTGAGATTCTGTCACTAAACATGTTTTTTTTTTATGACGCATCACGTTCTTGTTTCTCTTTTATTCGCAATCCCCCTTCTATCTCTCGAATAAAGGTATAATCAGAGAGAGCGTAGAGAAGCGTTGTTTTAAAAATATTGGTTCTCTGTGTGTAAGTTGTTTAAACAATCTGATTCGTCTACGACATATCTCTGGGACGTGCAGTCATTACCACGCTTCGAATACTGCACATGATGACGATATAATTAAATTTATAATGGGTAATGTGTATATGGTTTAAAGAGAAAGGATAAATGGTCAAAAAAATATATATATATGTATATGTATATATATCTATCTATATACACGCGCGCAGCATCTCTTATGAAAGGATGACATTTAAATATTGACTGCATTAAGCAGCAGTGATAAAAATAATATTAAAAAAAATAAAAATAATATTAATATTAATAATAATATAATAATAACAGCGAGTCTCATAATTACACTCAACATCAACAGTGGAAGCAATAAATACAAATGAGAATGATAAAATGCTTTTTAAAGAGCGCTATCCTTACAAAGAATCACTCCGTTTATGGAAGATATCACCGAATAATGTAATCATCGCGAAAATTTGAGAACGACCCTTCGTCAAATACGATGTTAATCAAAACTCGTTTTTCCTGTGGTATACAATTTATAATTCTTATTTCATTTTAATTAAAGAAGAGGTAAATTTTACACACTTTTACGTTATGTTTTTCAAATTAAATTAGTTCTGAAGATTTCAACGTCTTCACACTGAAACACATGAAAATCAAAGATAAGATCAGATCTAATGTTATCTGAAGCTCAGTATCTTAACAAGCTTAAAGCCTAATAATTTTCGTAATTCATGTGTCGATATGTAACGTGTGTAAAATAATCAATGTATCTTTGCCCCATAAATATCGCAAATAAAAATCGTATATAATCTTCATCGCTTACATTCGCTTGCTCTCTTATCTTTATTCGTCTAACTTATTGCTTATTCGAATAACGTCCTATATTTCACTTCCTTCCGCTCTCTCTTTCTCTCTTTTTTTCTATCTTTTTTCTCTTTTTTTCTGTTAACCCGATAATCGTGGGAAATAGATTCATACTAATGCACATAAGTGGTCGGCTAGAGTGATTAAGTAAGCTTTGACAAGCATAAAGCAGATTTACCTAGCATGATAGCCTCCATTAAGGATAATCGCGTTTGTTGCTGTGCAGAATCAGTAGAAGGCTGTCATTTCTTTTTCGCTGGATTCCTTTGTGGTGTAGATGGTCTACCTGTTTGACCTGTGTTCATTCCTCCATATTGGTATTTTGCTTTCTTTTCCGACGGTTTCAAAATCTGTTAAACAATGAGAGATAATATGACGTTGAATTTAATGTTATATTAACGACGGAAAAACTGACGAAGGATATATATGTATAGATTACTTGAAAACTGCACATCAAGGTTTCATCGACGCTCATCATTCCGCCGGCATTATCGAATTCGCCACAATAATTCGGTGCGGAGAATAACGTGACGAGTTGTCGCTTGGCGAAGAATTCGTAACCGTCTTCAACCACCTGATGCGCTCTGCATATGAGATCCATGTCGTGACGATTCAGGAACTTTGACACAACATCTGGACCAAATGTGAACGAGACACCTCTATCATTTTCACCCCAACCCTAAAACAACAAGCCATTATATAATAATCGTTTCAAAATTAATTTAATAATCTCTTCTATAATATTTCTCTGTTATATTTCACCTGAACATCTTTATCGGGATCGGACCACAAGAGATCACAGAGGAGACCGGTATCAGGTACATCAGTCGGACGCATAATTCTTCTGATTTGTTCCATTCCCTGAAACGCAACCAAAAAATATTATTATACACATTTATACATTGCGTGTATATATCAAATTATGCTCTTCGTTTACAAATCGATGGACTTATAAATTGCCTATTGACTTATTAATCACCTGTAGATCAGGACTGAGCCCGCCATGGCAGCAGAAAATTTTCTCGTCGATGATCGCAGCGATCGGCAAGCAATTGAAGCAATCCGTGAAGGTCTTCCAGAGCTTGATGTTATATCGCCGCTTGCATTCGTCGTAAAAGCCGTATATCCTGTTTATGCTCGCGCACTCGTGATTGCCGCGCAGCAGGAAGAAGTTTTCTGGGTATTTGATCTTGTACGCCAGCAGCAGACATATCGTCTCCAGGGATTGCTTCCCCCGGTCAACGTAGTCGCCCAGAAACAAGTAGTTGGCCTCGGGCGGAAATCCGCCGTACTCGAACAGCCGCAAAAGATCGGTGTACTGGCCATGTATGTCGCCGCAGATCTTAAGTGGTGCTTCCAGCTCCAGCAGGATCGGCTGCTGCAGGAAAATCTCCCGGGACTTGAGACAGAGGCCGCGCACCTCGGCCTCCGTCATGATGACCGTCTTGCCTGGTCGACATCCTCTGACTGTGTGTTCAAAATGCCAAATGTTTGATTAGTTAATCGCGTCAAGTTTTTATACGAGATACCGAGACGATCGCTCTTCGTTAGTGCGGTGTATCTTGAGAGATATATGCACGTACTTGATATTAAAAAAAAAAAAGAGATAAAATAATGTAAATAAAAACATAAATATATACGTCAAATTTATCGCTGATACGAGTAATTTACAGCTAATTTCAATCTTCTCTTAAACGCCTTTATGTCAAGATAGAAGTCTATCTTTACCATGTAAGAACAGGCGGTCTATCCCCGGAAAAAAATCGATAATGCCATTGTTACACGTATAATTAGTGTCGCTACTTAAATCGCATTACTTATACCGTTACGCGCGTATTACTCCTTCTGGAATTACTCGAGCGTAATACGCTAATAATATCATTATCTCCCGTCAATTTCCTTCACACGTCTATTGAGTTATGCACCTCTCCTAATTGTCGCGCGCTTATGCAATTCCCTTGTATACAGTAGACAAAAAAGAAAAAAAATAAAGAGGAAAAAAATACCGAATACTATATATTGGCGTGTCATTCTTGTCGAGCCACTCGCACAAGCTTGCAAGTGTCGCAAAATCGATAATGACGCCTAATGACGCGTTCCATCTTTCTGTCCACCGCACTAATGATAGAGAGAGAACCGTCTCGGGGGTACTCTATTTTTTTTTCACAGATACACCGAGCATAACTCTACTTTGGGGCGTGGAAGATGAATCAAGTTCTGTCGGTATCGACCGTCTCAATAAAGGGGTGAGAGATACACGATTACGGTATTACAAGATTACGGTGAGATGCCAGATCATCTTTGTCTATTCTCGAGCACTTTGCACATGGATCCACGCGGTACTTCCGTGGTCTACGGTGATATCGCATCGGCTATAAGCGAAGGTTCAAAGGTGTGAAAATTACTGATAAACTCGTTATATAGGCAACGAGGAAAATGTCTCGGGAGAGAGAATCTCTGACGGGTAGTACACGAGTATAGTGGGAACCTAAAATATTACTCGGCTATAAATTCTGAATAATGGTGCAACACTCATGATTCAAGCTTTCTGAGTTTTCTAATCTCTACATCATGTTTCGCATAATTGCCACGTTCATGATAAATGCATCAGCGAACAAATCTATGCATAATACTCTCTACAAGCATAAAATAACATAATTACCTGTTTACAAAATCACTTGTCAGATAATTACAAATTGAAGCAATAATTAAATTTATCGTTGAAATTAGAATAAAAAAAGATATTCTTAAAAATACTTAACTTACATAATTTTTTCATAAACTTGTATAATTATTTTGAATAATTATCTTAGGTAATTATCCTATGAAATAATTATCTTAAATAATTATTTTTACATTTTAAATAAAGTTTTACATTTAAAATTTGAATGTATTTTCGTTTAATGAAAAAAGGTGAGTTATATATAGAACATGTTCTCGCAGAGTGAAAATTCACTAGTGCATTTAATCCCGATTTTTCATAAAACGTGTCGAATATCTATGAACGACGTCGCTCGACATCCCTAAAGCGTTAATAAGCGGTGCTCAAAGGCACAGAGGTGATTTAACCGACATCCAGTGGAGATCATCCCTCTTTATGAAGCTATGGATATGTCGTCGGACTATTTATTTATAGGCATAAAGGGGAATTCACGGTGCTGCTGCTGAACTGGACCGATACTGGTTATTGGAAAACTGCATATTAGCAAGGTCACGGCGACCATAGAGCAGAGATGCAGAGATTCCGCAGAGGAGAGGGAGTAGCTATTGTCTTTGCTGCAACACGTACAGACGTACATACACTATACGGATATATTCCAGACGAAATGCTGGAAATGTCACTGTGCGGAGTCGTCATCAAGTGCTTAAAATAAGCGCACCGAAATAAAAACAAATATCTTTAGAAATCTGAAACCGCTCGATGGCGATGCAAAGACGTACATGAGAATTTTCATCGCATACATTAAAACTCTAATATATGAAAAAATTCGATCGTATGTAAATTATATTACGTTAGTTAATTATAAGCAGGGAATTATAGACAATTGTTTTTTTCAAACGGATTAATGAAATTCGATAAAAAGATTCTTTCATAGCGATAGTGCTTCCCTTAACGTAATATTTCGCATATATTTACATAAATGTAATTAAAAACTTCAAGACCATATATATTGATGATTCGATACATGCTCAATATCCGATAGTTAAATCCGGCCTATCGTATAAATTGCCTCGCTCTTGCAAAGTGATGGAAAGAAAATGATAAATTAGAAATAACCTGTCCCTGAAGAGGTTAAAAATAATTGTAAGGTCTCGTTAGCGGATAACTCTGGAGTGCGAACTTCGTATCGCTTCAGGGACACGCGACGAACGTGGTTATTAGCGCAATTTTCAGCATCAAACGTATCATCGCCATTATATTTCGATGTGAGACGATATTTCAGAAACCTAGTATTATAGTGAAAGTCAGGAAACTCGTTGACAAATTATCCCGTTATCAGTATCACTTTTATGTATCATATGTCACTCTTATGAACTCTTATATATCGCGTATGCGTCAAAGATAAACATTTTTGTGTGGATAAAAGAGACTAAGAATTTAAAACAATTCTTTCTTGACGTAGATAACTCCTTCCTGAAGTAGATAAAAGTAATCCGTTATTATCGTCTGGATATTTAATTGTTTATTAGTATGATTAATAAAAAAGCGTATTCTTTAAACACTGTCATGTAAATTAATAATTGTTTTTTCGCAAAATAAATTTGTATCACATATTACATATTGCCTTTTCTTAATTATATTATATGTCAGATAATTTCACAAGTATATAATATATTCAATAAATTTTTACTTTCTTAATATATTATTTAAAATACACTTTTTAACACACTATTATTTAAAATACAATATAGTATATCTCTTATATCTTTTTAATCACAAATGCATTAATTCAATATTCAAACATTCAAACATTCAAACATTAAACTACTTTATATAATTTAATTTGATAATAAAGGCATCATAAATTGCATTTTAATTTAATGATATAATTGCATTATATCATTATATATCGTAAAGCAATTTGTAAATGTGCATTTTATAGATGATAATAAATTATGTGTACTGATAAGAGAGACATCATTTTCAATTAAAGATACTTAACGAACGAATTAAATCCCCCCATTCATGTACGATGATAGTTTGATTTAATATAAAATTTCTTACTTCGAAAAAAATCACGATTATTTTCACGGGATAGAAGCGAGAGAAAATTTTCTACTTGAACAACAGCGTAGAAGGAAGGAGGAAGTATAGTAATCAAAGCGTATATGTGTACGAATTTCGCTGCGTCGCATAAATACACATCTATTAGACTAAACGTGCTCTAAACTAACATTTAAGCTAACATTTCCGAATTTTAGGTGACCAAGGTCCGATTGCACCAATGTTACTTTGGTCTTAAGCGAGACTTAAATATATGTCTATCTTTATTTAGAAAGAGAGACAAGGATAAACACATATTTAAATCTCACCTAATTCAAAATAATATTGTAACTTGAAAAATAATAGTGCAACCTGACCTAAAGCATCTCAGTCGAAAGGATTACGTGCATGAGAAAAAAAAGGGTGAGGAAAGGAAAATGATAAATCCTAAAAACGCGACGCGAGGTGCATCGACACAAATTCAGAAATAATTTAAAAAGAAATCTGACGATGCTCTTATTTCGAATGGATAAAACAAGAGATGAATGTTGGGTAATTATCATATTTCTAAATTTAAGACAAGTTTAATAGAATCGTCGACCAAGAACAAATGCAACGAGGAATAACATTGTAAAAAAAAGACGTGCAAGTCCGTTCGAAGAGCACGAAAAAAAAAAGAAACTAACAAATAAATACGCGACATCGACGACAATGATGGCTCGTATATCATGAGACGCATTTAGCGCTAAGCGTGATTATCAGTGTCATTTTTACATCATCGGGAGATTTCGATCTTTCGATTAACAACTCTTGAAACGTATGACACGCGCCGCATTTAGCTCTATTTCCTTTAAAAGTGACGTCTTAAACAGAAACGTAAATATAGAGCGAGAGAGAGAGAGAGAGAGGGCAAATCGATAAAACGCGGTTTAGCGCCGAATGCGACTATCACATGATGGACGAGAGATGTCAACCTTTATAGAGATGTTACACCATTTAAGCCGCGTTCGTCTCGACGCTCGAGCTACGATCGTACGTCAAGACGAGCACGGCCGTCACGGGACGATGGTAACGGAATATTATACCAAAGAGCTCGGCTAAGCAAAACTAAACAAACGTCTCAGGATATATAACTCTACGTGGGGGAGGCAGAGGAGGGGTGGGGAGGGGGGGAGGTTTTGCCGTTTCCTGCTGTTGTTTTGCTGTGACGGTGGTGGTGACGGTGATGACGGTTATTGGTATTGTTGGTAGTAGTTGCGTACCGACGAAGTCCGACGAGAAAATATCTTTTAGCTTGGCTTTCTTCTGAACCTGGTCTTTCTGCGTGTGGTATACTTTACCGCACAAGGGGGTTCCGCATTCGCGTAGCATGAGAGAGAGAACAAACAAAGAGAGAGATTGTTTTTTTTTTCTTCTCAGAGCCTAAAGAGAACGGGGATATATAAAAGATCGTGATCGCGATCGGTGATCGGTTGGCGTAAAAGCGAGGGTGATGCGGTTGTCGCGGAGGGGGAACGAGGGAGGGGGAAGGGGAGAGGACGATCTCTTTAAATAGCGAGAGAGACGGAGATGTACTGACAGGTATAATAATGTAGGTGAGCGAACGAATGCGAGCGAGACAGCGAATTAGAAAGATGGAGAATGAAAAGGATAGAGATAGATAGATAGAGAGAAAGAAAGAAAGAAAGAGAGAGAGAGAGATGAAAAGAGATAGAAAAATAAACGTAGCGGAGCTCGGAACGAAAGAGAGAGACACGATGAACGGTCCCTTGAACTTTTCGCGTATCGCGGCGGCGATGACCGCGAGACGAGAGACACGAGACGGGGCGAGCGGGTCCGAGATCGATATTTCACCTGCTTTCGTTCTCTTAATCCGATCGACCGAGGGAAAGTCGCGCAGCGACGCAGTCGAGACGCTCGCGCTCTCGCGAAGAGGCTCCGGATCGGACGAAGCGAAGGCCGAGTCGCGGGACGATCCGCGACGAGACCGTGTGCGTGCGTGTACCTGACACACACACCACGCGCGCGCGCGCGCAGCGAGACGCGAGCGCGTCGCGTTCGAGGAAAAGCTGCGTGTCCCGCGACCCGCGACTTCGAGTCCGGCGCGGACCTCCTCGTCGCCTCGCGCGAGGCGTGTTACGCGCGGCCGCGGGTGTCGCGGGGGTAACCGCGGCGGGAGAGCAGCCGCGGGAACGATCGCGTTTCTCGCACCGGCCGCCCCGTCGCAAATCACGTACCTTCCAATAATCTCTGTATCAAGTTGTCGATATTCAAGTCGACATCCGCCATTTTTTCCTGCCACTGACTGACTGGCCCGATGTTCGCGGACTGGCTCGTACTGCGCCTAGCGCGCGCATTTGCTTCGCAACATCGCGAACGTCAGACACATCGACGCGTCCAGGTGTACGTACTGTTATCGACTGCCGGTTTGACGAGGTCGCACGATGAGGAGTGGTGGGAGACGCGGTCCCCGACGTGGGGAGTGGGGAGAGCTGTGTATGCGCAGAGGTTGCGAAGGTCGGAGCGCGCGATCGACCAATCGGAGCAAAGAGACCTTTCGTCCTGATTGGACAAGCGGGTCGATACTTTAGTAACATCAAATAGAATGCACTTGTAAATGAACATTAATATCCAAGTTTTCTAGGAACAGTGACATCGATAATTATGTTCCTAGACGAAAATTGGCTATCCAATGGAAGACTTTCGAAAGTCCATATTTTTATATTTATATTTAGCTAACAATAAAATTATTATTGATTAAAACATGGAACGTATTTTATGCCATTAATTTTCGCAATGAAAGCAATAAAACTTTTTGATTATAAAACAAACTGTCTAATGTAATTTTGTTTTAAATTCGTTATTAAAACCAAAGTTTGCTTTTCTTTGAAGCAAGTAACGAAAATAGAACAAATTGCGGTTCAAATTTTCAATTGCACAAATACATTATCATATCTTTTATCAAAATTATATATAATATCTTCAATCAAAAATATATTATTCTATTTGATTTAGCAATATTACCGATGAAATATCGGTAATTTACTTCCTACATTTGTCAAGATTATCTTTATGTTGTTCACGTTTATCTTTGCGTTTTGTTGTTGTTGAACTGGTACGTTTAGCCTGTTTCAAAAATTGATCCAAACCAAAAGAATCTTCTTCCTCCTTTTCAAATTGTACCAGTTAATAATTTTACATTTACATAATTTTACAAATACATAAAAAAATAGACACATACATACATTGATACTATTGATATCTATAACATTTCTTATAGAGGAAATGCATTATCACGTGATGAATAATCAGTTTTATTGGATTGCTAGATATATTTGATTTGATAAGATGACTTAATATATCTATATGTTTCATTTATTGCATATATGTCAATTTTCTCATAAACATTTAATTATCAAAATTTCTATTTTGCATATATATTTTTGCTATTATAGATAAAATCATGCCAAGCCATTTAAAATGACAAAGTTTTATATGGTTACATAAATCAATTCAATTTATATAAATTCAATTAATATTATATATATGTGATTCCTATATAAAATATTCTACACAAGATTAATACATTTGCCCACAAGTATAAATGAATTTGAAAAATAACTTTACGCATTTTGGCAGTTTAACCATACTTTCGATGATAATCTGGCGGTGGATCTGTGTAATCTTGTTGAAGATTGAAAAGTTCGGCATTATTCTTTTGCAAATATTGCAAGAAGTCATGAAAATGTGACAGTAACAACTGTATACTCCTTTCATCTAAAGGTGTATATGACAACATACCACCAAGTCTTACTGTAAATAAAAACTTAAAATTATCATCTACAATAATTAGCAAAAAAATGATAAATATTTTATCAAAATCAGATTTTACCAAATAGTCTAAGTAAATGAAACGCTCCATATAATTGACTTGGTAAGGTATCCGGATTGTCATTTGTTATCTGTATAAATTGCGGGCGTTCCCATTTATATAGCAATTGAAGCCCTAATGTGATATTAAAATATTCACGAATACCTTTTGTTATTTCCAATGTACTTTCTCTAAAACAAAAAATATTAAAATAATCATATACTTATACATATATAATGTTAGTGTAACAGCAATGATATTATTTAAACTCTTAGTTACATCATACCTAATATCGTTTGTTTTTCCCGATGATTTCATTTCTACATAATCGTCTAAAATTTTGTCAACTGTATTTTGTACAGGTAACGCGGGTAATTTATGGTGTTTCAATATTACTTCAGATTCATCTATTAGCACAAACTTCAATTCTTCAGGTAATTTTATCTTAACTTCCACTTTAGTGAGATACTCTTCAGTTTCGCTAGATGGTTCTAGTCGACTGAAAAAAAAATCACTTTCTTACAATCAACCATAATATAAAATCATAAATACAAAAATGTTAGATAGATTATACCTTCGTTTTTTACGAGTAGGTTCCGATGTAGACTCGTGAGAAGATGAAGCTGTCACTGTGCTATTAGTACTCTTGTTAAAACGACTTATACTTTTGTCAGCCGTTGAAACAGGAGTGCTTGCTCTACTGTCGGTATCTTTCTCTCTACCTCCTTCGCTTCTTCTCCCTTGTGCTTTTGTTGTTGTATTTCCCTTTTTGTTCTTTTGTGCAGATTGTTGAGTTGAATGTGCTCTTTGAACTTCTCTTTGTCTTTGTACATTTGCTTCATTGTATTTGAGTACTCTGCTCTCCGGAACCCATTCATCCCAGCTATTTTTACAAAAACATATATATTTGTGATGGTCGTTGATAATAATAGAAGTATATATTTTTAATCTATTATGATATACACATGATTTGTATGTATCAGTAAATAATTCACTTGCAAAAAGCTTTCTTACTTTTTATTCCAGCCTGCATAATGAATGAAATATTTAATTTGTTTCTCCTTAGTAATGGAAGACTTCAAGCATTTTGCTTCATAGATCAATGGCCCATGAAAGCAGAGAACTTTTTCTCCTAAGGACATATAAACCATATAAAATTAATGGTTTATCAAAGGAAATAAGAAAATTTAATTGATCTTCCCATTTCTATAAATCAATTTACACTACAAGAGATTAAAAGACACAACGAACACTACAAGAGATTTAATGTAAAAATGATGATGAGATTTACCTTCTTGAAATTTACATTTCGGTGGCATTTTTGTATCTCGAATCGCACTTATTTTTATTATTCTATCCTGTTTTCTTGATAATTATATAATGAGTTAGACAACAAGAGAGTTAACAACAATAGAAAATTAATTTCTTTCACAACTTTCAAAGCTACATTCACTTTCGAGGTTTACTTTGATGGTTATGTCAGGTTAGGTCAACAATCTTAATTACATTCATAAAATTAACACATATGATCAAAGGGCAATTTAATCAGTATCGAAAAATATATTTGACTACATCTCTCCTCTAATGGATATAGACGACAATATTAAGTAAAAATTAATATGTATACGAAAAACTTTAATATATTAAAGAGAGAGAGAGAGAAAGAAAAAAGGAGAGAGACAACGTGAAAACTAGAGCACATGCAAGTACAAATATGTGCAAGCAAGTCTAAATTCTAAAAATTCTAAGTCAAAATTCTAAAAATTTTCTATTTAATAGCTAAATCAACATTCGATAAAGCATCTCGTACAATAAATAAAATGTCATTCTTATTTAATTTTGTTGCAGCCAGGGCTGCGTTCGGAAACATCACCCGAATGCATCCGGGTATCATTTTATCCTTGTTATTCACCGAATGTTAAACAAGGATAAAATGATACCCTAGTATATTCGGATGATGTTTCCGAACGTAGCCCAGAGCAGAGAGAAGAACGAGAGATGTCACGGTCCGCTTTTAGATGATCCCTGAAAGCGATGCGTCCTCTATAAACATAAAAACTTAAACATGAACTACAAAGCCAAAGTCCACGAAAGTTCTCATAGGGTAACATATATGTGCACAATTTCTGATTCTGTTCCGTGCTATGTAAAAAAATGCCTGTAGTACACGAAATGCCTATGTACACAAAATGCCATCAGTGCTGTATAGCAAAACGCATATGTATATAAATATAAATAAATTTTTAATTTTAATTTTTTAAATAAATTTTGTGATCCTCTCTCTCTCCCTTTCTCTCTCTTTCTCTACACATACACAAATAAACACACACACATATAATATATATATATATGTATATATAGTATAATGCTACAACTTTATTCTGAAATATCTGCGTTATGTTTAGATATAACTATGGTTTAGATATAACTCTATGGACATTTGTTCTCAGGTATAGATATTCAAATCACTGTAGTTGCCTTTTTCTCGATTATTGTTCCTTTTTCATTCATTTTAAAAATATTAATATAATTAATATAACAAATATTTATATAATTTTGGTATTTCTCTTAGTCTGACACTTCCCCTTCGACTTGTCCGGCATAGATGACTCTATCAATAACTACGATCGGTATTCATAACTCACTTTTATATTTAAGATCATACTTAAAATTATCTTAAATATAAGAAAAGTATATACGAATATCGATGTATGTTACCGCCGGCTCTCAGACTCATTAAAATACTCAAACCTCCTCAGCTGGCAAATGCCTTCCTTAAGATGGAGATATCATCGAGAAGGCAAAATTTTTCATTTTCTTTCAATACAGAATTTAATACAAAAAGTTAATGTAAAATATAATATTATATAATTTGAAATGTAATACAGAATAAATTAACAATCCTTTTTTTTTTTACGTGGGGAAAAAAAACTCTCTTAAAAAACACTCAAAAAATATTGATCCATAAAAAATTCTTAATATTAATAATATAATTATTGAAATATTTATTAATTTCTTTTCCCTAATATTATTTAAACCTACATTTCCTGATTCCTTAAAAGATACATAATATAAAATCAGCTAAATTAATCACATAATAGCCCTAACAATCCTCTACTTTTTGAATGGAAAATTAAAAAATCTTAATGATCACCTAATAGCCCTAACAATCCTATTTCTCGATTAAGTGAAATGATTCGAGGAAAGCCTATCTCTAATCACATATATTTTAATTACGTGCCCTAATTACATTCTCTAACCGCATGCCCTAACCGCGTGAATAAATGTCCGACATTACGTACTATTGTACGTAAAGCTTTTCTTCAGGCCAGTTGAACTTACTTTTCGTTGATCCTGGCCAATTTCTCGCTCGATCTCTAATCAGAGATCGAAAAAGGAAATAAACACTCCTTCTTTTGCCGATTAATTACCGGCAAATGAGCGTAAATATTTCACGCTCATCGTAACGATCGCTCGATTTTACGATCGTTTCTTAAATATTTGAATATAATTTTATTTTAACTCAAATAAAGCCAAATTACTACAAATTTCTATATACTATATTTTCTAATAAAATATAAAATTCATGTACATATGTGTATAACTTTTATGATATTACAAATTATTTAATTAATTAATCGTTTGGCTTTATTTTAAGTTAAAGTAAAATTTAAAAACAATATCTACAAACAAATTCTACAATGGATGAGCTATGATATAAGAAATTAGAATAAAATAAGTGCGCGTTATAAGAATAAAGTAGTATCAAAAATTAATAAAATTGTTAAAATTATTAATGCGTGCTCTTGATTTAATAAACTAGTCAAGTCTTTACAAAAAAAATTTTCTTTTCTTGATTCTCTTCTTTAAATTAATACTTCAATATATTTTCGCAATAGATGCAAAGCATTTCGAAAGAATTTATTAAAAGTTATTTAACTTAATCTATCCTAGCTCATCCATTTTAAGGCAACGGACTTACTCTAAAATTCACAATCTACAATCTACAATCTACAATCTACAATCTACAATCTACAATCTACAATCTACATCTACAATCTCTACGAATCCGTTACCTTAAAGTTAAATAAAAGTTTTTCTCACTCACCGGCACTGATGCGCAACAGCGGAGTTGTTGTTATCGAAGCTAGTTGTCTGTAACATACAAATATAAAATTCATTTATATTAATGCTCACAAAATGCAATCAATATTTCAAAAAATTTTTTTCGCGCGGAATTTTATATCCGATGTGTAAAATAATAAGCAGAGATAAACACGTGTGGAAAATTTTTATAAAATTTTAAAACTGTTTTTTAAGAAAGTTTTTTAAAAAGTTTTATATAACTTTTATAAAAATCTTTCTCTCTAATTTTCTCTTTAATTCATTTAAATAATAAGATCGAATTATTATGCGTACGATTTATAACAATTGATATACAAATAATAAATATTCACCATCAGGTTGCTCCGCCGATGCAAGATGCCTCTCCCAGGCCTCCTCCTCCTCTCATGTTGTTGACGCGCGATACTTTCAACGGCACTCCCGCACTCACGAGCGATATTTTTATATCGCTATTTTCGTTATTTTACGCGCGATACTACGGCACTCCCGCACTAATTCGGTACGATTAAAAATTTTGTCGCGCGATGTATATATTTAATATATATATACTTTGTCCGACACTCCCGGTTTCGGTACGAGCGAAAATCCCATTTCATTTCGCGAGAATCAATTTCGAGCCAACAGGTCGGGAATGCAACGATACAACGAGCAAAGATTAGGCCCGAACCGGAAAGAAGACGAAACGATTGACGGAATAGAGGAAAATAAAGTTCACCAGCTCTTTTTCGCGCATAATTATCCTATCTCATATCGAACCTGGACCCGCTAAGCACGATTTCAAGTGACCCGCACGGATGCTATATCACTAGCGCAGTACACAAGGCTGATAGACGGTAAAAGAAGAGGATACCCACATTTTTTAAAAGCTAACATTCAGCAATTTAGAAAATGGGGAGGCAACCCCTTTTACCGAGCGAAAATCGCGCCTAGGGGAATCCACCCGACTCCTCGACAGGGTTAACACACGCTAGGCGTGTGGCTGTGGAGTAGACGAGCAAAGAGAAGGGACCCATTGACGACCATTTCGAACAATCGATCGAGTTCTAATCGATTCGGGCCAAATCAATTGACGAAGCAGAGCGTGTTCATCACTAAGCCGATCGAGCGCGAAGCTCGAACCCGCGCGCCCATGTACATTTTGTACTGGACATACGTTCTGCGCGGCCGGCATCACCAAGTGCCACGTTGCACAAGGCGCGAGTACGTCGCAAAGCAACGACTCGATGAAACATCCCAGTTAGTTGGCGTCGGAAGGAGAGACTCGATGACAAAAACGAAATTGGGATTTTGAAAACGCGAAAACGCGATAACGCGAGAATACTATAACGCGAAAACGCGGTTACGAAGCGCAGCCGTCCGCGGCACGTTGACGGCACCGACGACGCGAAAGGGTACTTTGCTTCCCTTTCAAGCACCATAAGATTTATCGTAAATAGAAAAATTTAAAATAAATCTCAAGACACCATCCAAGTACTAAGCCCTCCCACCGCGACAAGGTGTACCCCATGGGAGGGTTATATTATATATAATTTTTTTTTATATATAATATAATATAATATAATAATTGTAATTAATAAGCTCCCTATAAAAATAATTAAACGAAGTAAGAGTAAAAGCTCTCAAATCCTTTACTCTCACTCCATTTAATAATATAATATATAATATATAATATAATATATATATATATATATATATATATATATATAATTTGGAATTTATTTTGAAATATAGCATATAAATTTAAATTTACATAATAAGATTTCGATTAAATTGTGTATTTAATTAACAATGATTGAGAAAATTTAAAGCATTGGTCGAAATATATTTAATTCTAATATTATATTCTAATATTATATTCTATTATAAAGAAATATTATAATAAGCATCGATCATCGAAATATCAAAACATAATCTCTTATACTCTTTTATGCATAATCTGTTTCAATTTTTAATCGCAGTAATGATTGATTGCGATTCGATAAAAATTTATCGTTGCATTACAGTTTCATGTCGTTAATTAATTTTTAATTAATTAATTTTTATTAAAATTTATAGTAAATTATGTTTCCATACTAATTGTAATCATGTTTAGTAAAAAAATTACAATATACAAAGCGTTTCTTACCACTACTTTATTACTCGAGAGTCACCGTACGAATGATGACAAAGCGGCACCGTATAGCGCGCTACTGTTTATATTTTATATTGCCAAAATCAAACATCGTATTATCGATAATTCGTTACCAAAATATTTTATATATTATAAAATATACATTAACGTAAAATATTAAATTATAAAAGTATTTAATTTATTGATTGAAATTGATTATTTATCAAACAATTCACGCAGTCTTTTGTTATGCTAATTATTTGCGTCTATAATTCCATTGTTTTACTTCGCGTTCTCTCACATCCCAAATTATATTTAAATTATCAAGTAAAACGATAAAGTAACACGGACAAAATATATTTGTGATTCTAAATATTAAAATAAT